TGAGGATATCGTTATCGAATGACGATATTCCTTTCTTTTTACTAATGAATCAAAAATGGTGCGATATGCAGCAGAAATAACACACCTAAAAATGTATTTGAGGGCTTATTAAATGCGAGTATCTGGAATGCGAGTATTGTTATGTTTTAAATAATTTGAATAAGAAAAGTTTTCATAATTTTTTGCAAAATTGAATAAATCTTTACATTTTAATAAAAACTTATTTAAGTCCACTTTGATTTCACTTCCCCTTATTTTTTCAGTTCTTATTTTTCACAATTCTCATCCAAGTTGACATAATTTGGCCAATGAACGCAGAATGTACGGGTATACCTTTTTTATTGAGTATTTTCCATTAAAAAATAATATACCTAATTTCACCCTTTACACTTCCCTAACTTTTAAATTTCATTAAATTAATACGGCCACACATTTCAGGCTTTCCTTCAAGTCTCGCCTCTTTTGTGCGAATAAGACGTTGGGTAGGATTTAGACAAATCTTACGTGACTCAAACAAACTGACGTGCCCGAAAAATATGTCAACAGCACACGCAAGTGCGTCTTATGAACATAAAATATCAACCTGTTTAAAAAAGGAAACTGGATCAAAATTGTTACAGACACCAATTTCAGTCACAACAACAACGTCCACAGCAACAATACCAACAATACCAACAATACCAAATGCCAGAGAAGCAACAACAGCGGAAACAATAACAAAATCAGTATTTCGGTCACGCGTTACATATTGTTTTTTCCTTCTCGAAAATATATCATTCCGATAACAATTCAAGCCCGAGAAAAAGTTGAAGATTTATGTTGGCACTTTAGTGTCCATGTACGAAAAAATTTGATTTGATGTTGTTGGGTTAAGACTTGTTGGATTAAGTTGCCAAGGTAAAGAAACAGCATTAGGACAAGACGCCGAGTCAGAGGTTAACATAAGCCATATGGAAGCTTTGGCATAATGAAACAATTGTTTTATTGTTGTTATTTATTTAGTTAAATTTTTCTTCACCATTTGTGGGTTATCCAAATTCTTGGATATTTTACAATCATTACATTTATCTTGTAAATAATTTAAGAATAAAGTTCTAAATAAGACAGCAGACCTCTAAAATATTTTACACACTTTTTAATGTAATCTAAATGTAATTACAAATTTATTCAATTACTTTTATTATTAATTGGCGTGTTAAATGACAATTTTAATTTGTATTTTAATGTCAACATTCGATCACATTTCGACTTTCTCTGTTTATACGCGCTAAAGTGCTCTATAATCGGTCAGATTTTGATGCAGACATTTTTGGGGTTTTAAGCCAAACAGCATTCTAAACTTTTCCAAAGGTTCTAGGTGGTTTTAAACCCTGAGTTTTTTTCAATATACGGTTAGACAATGGGCCAATAGGCCTAAATGGATCCCCTAGGCACACCTTTGTATCCTAACCTGAGTCGACAATCACCCAGATTTGCTCTTAGACGTTTACGAATATTGTCAACAGCGAATGGCAACGCATGTTTCCACATTTCCAATATTTTGACAAAATATGAGCTAAGTAGAACTTTTTCTACTAATTTAAAGAATTCATTTAAGAAAAATAGGAAACAATTTCTAATTGTGATATAAACAAATTAACTGATTTTTAATACAAAATTTATAAAAGATTTCATATTGAGACAAGAATTCGACTATGGTCCATATATTGGTGAGAATAAAATTTATTTTTTAAAAATAATCCAAAAAAAGTTATCTTACGAGTGTTTAAAATATTGACCGCTTTAGCCTGTTCAAAAACGTATAAAATAATAAATTTATTTAAAAATATATTTAAGAGATCGCTTAGACCCGAAGATTCATGAACCCGTCTAAGTCATTCTTAAATAGACTGCTTACACTGAGTGTTTAAAAACTTAGCCTGTTCAAAAATGTATAATAAGATTAAGTTGAAACAATAGATTATAAAATAATAGATTTATTTAAAAATGTACCTTTATTTATGAGATCGCAGAGATTCATTAACCCATCTAAGTCATTTTTAAATAGACTGCTTACACTGAGTAGCAAGTTTATCAAAATTTTCAACCGGTTTCTGACAGGGTGCTGTAAGCTGAGGTTCAATAGATTCTTTATAAATCTGCTAAACTGAACAACAGTAGAATTATTCATCTGTGAGACAGCTTCGTGTCATTCAAAATTGGCAAAAGGTTATGCTCATGTTCACGTTGAAGCCCAATGATTTTCTAACACTCTTGGGATTAGCTCAATCCACCTGATCCATTACTCAGAGTAACGGTATGTTGCAATTTCCACTTAATTTATAATTATTAATAATTGAATTCTTCAAGTTCCTTTGAAGCCTCGGAATAAAATTACATTTAAATGGTATATAGTATCTATAGGTGAATAGTGACTAATGTTGATTAAGGAATATAAAAACGAGTAAGAGAGAGAGAGAGAGAGTGAGAGAGAGAGAGAGAGCGTAATGAATTATCTACAGGATATTAATAAATTTATTTTCTGCATAAAAACGAATGGCATTTTACTATTTTGCAGCTCCTTTAATTTATTATTTTCTACACTTTGTTTCATTTTTCCTACATTTTATTATTAATTTTCATCAGTAATTTATTACTTTTTGACACACCTGCTAAAAGTTCCGCATTTCATTTCAACTTTAATAATAATTGACATCTCGAACATGTCCATTCGATTCGTTCAAATTGAAACATGTGTTCCACTTCCTCATCCACCATGCAATCAACTTATCAAAAACAAGGACCAAGGACGAAGGACGTAGGACTAAGCACCATCGAACTGAAGAGAAACTGAAAGAACCGAAATGTAATGAAATTGAATTGAATTGAATTGTTGTGCACAAACACAAACACAAACACGAACACAAACGCAAATACAAATACAGTTTCACTTGTTTCCTTGTTTCTTTAAAGTTTAAAACTTCACTATTGTTGCTGTTGTTGTTGTTGTTGTTGTTGTGTGAAGTATGTTATTATTATTATTATTATTATTGTCGGTACCGGCGAAAGTCGGTAGGAGACCGTCAAGTCACATTCGCATTTGACGGCGAGCGTCGAGAAATTATTTGTAGTTGAGCAGAAAAGGCATTTTTATTAAAAAACTTCTGTGACTTTCTGTTCAACTTTTGTTGAAAAGAAATTAATAAATGAGAACAAAAGCGAAAACCGAAATCATATTAATTGGCATTATTTTTATTGTTTGGGGTTTGCTTATTTTTTTTCTCTTTTCTCGGGAACACACAAAAAACTTTTGACATTTGGATACACATACATATACACATACAGATACACATACAGATACAAATACAAACACAAATACAAACACAAATACAAATACAAATACAAATACAAATACAAATACAAATACAAATACAAATACAAATACAAATACAAATACAAATACAAATACAAATACAAAATACAAATACAAATACAAATACAAATACAAATACAAATACAAAATACAAATACCAAATACAAATACAATACATACAAATACAAATACAAATACAAATAGCAAATGCAAATACAAATACAAATACCAAATACAAATACAAATACAAATACAAATGACAAATACAAATACAAATACAAATACAAATACAAATACAAATACAAATACAAATACAAATACAAATACAAATACAAATACAAATACAAATACAAATACAAATACAAATACAAATACAAATACAAATACAAATACAATAAGTGTCACTTTCATTTCCCCATTTGTTGAAGAAATTTTTGCAAAAATATATATATATCCACACAATGTAAGTTATGGAACTTCAAGACGGTGTGGACGAAGAATAGAAATCAAACAATCTCCAAAGATTCGCTATAATTCCCAATTGTCAACCCTCACTGCACCGTCTAAACACCAAAGCAAAATTATTGCACCGTGCAGGATGCAATGATGAGAAAGCGATGACGATCTTTGGAACTCGAAAAAGCGTAATACTATTGGTTGTAATATTTCTCCTACTTTTCTTTCGGTAGAAATAATCGAATGAACTACTTCCAACAAGAAAGTAACGGGACAGACGATTTATCAGAGATGATTTTATTTTGGTGGAAGAACAGAAAGCGATAATAAGAGAATGTAAAACGTATTAAGTGATTTATAGCGAAGGATTAAATTGTAATTGCATTGGAGATCAGATCTTTGAACTCTTGGAACTGGGAACCATATATTACCTGCTCACACACACTGAAGCACTAACGAGTTATTCTGGAAGGATTGGTAAAGTTTGATTGTTCCTTAATTAATAATAACATCGCCACTTAGCTATAAATATGTTTGAACTCTCAAGAGAACAGCTTGGAGTGCAAAAATGTTTATCAATCGCATACTTTACACTCACAAGTTTTATATAAATAAATATACATATGCAAATATATTTTAAGACTATATATTATAATAAACTGAACAAAAATATGAAATATATTTAACAGCGCTGCAATAAAATTGAAGGTAGTTAGATACTACATCTTCTATGTTTTATGGAACCAGTATTTTTTAAACTTTTACTTTTTGAGATTTTTTACTTAACACTGCTGCTTACTTTCTCAAATTTATTATTGTTCTTCTTTCTCACTTATTTAACACATCTGCCAAATGTTTTTTGATCCAACACATCGGGAAAGCGCCCCCAGAGGAATATGTACTTAACTATATAGACTACGAGATGTGTGTTGTATATTATAAGAGTAAAATCTGCTTTATAATGGAATGATTACGCTCAGCATATCGCTTACAAGAAGCAATAATGTTAGGAAACAATAATAGCTTTCCACACTTACTTCAAAACTGTACGCCATTTCCCAAAGGGGCTTGGATTAAAGTAAATGGATTTATAGTAATTTACAATTCAACTCACTTTATTTTTAAAGATAAAAAAATTTGTAATTACATATTATTTATTATTATATTATATTAAAAACATACTTTTGCTGTAAGTTATAGTTATAGAAAAAAAACTGTCTTAATTTACTTCTATTACACTCATATGAGACTACTTTTTTTCTGTATTCTTCAAGGATTCTTGATACTCGTTTGCTTCAACACAACGCTTACGCATGCATGATTCGCATATTTTGCCAAGCATGCCACTACTTGAAAACCCACATAATTCACAGATCAACTTTTTCGCTCGAGGGACTTCTTGACGTGGGCCATTTAGATCATGAGCGTGTAACATGAATGAGATCAGTAAATTTTTTTTCAACCTGTTATAACATAGCATGTGCAACGACATATGCTCGTTGTACTTCTGTTTGTTTTGGAAACTCAAGGCACAAATTTTACACGTTTTATAATAATCTAAATGGTAATTTTCAATGTGGTTTATAAGTGCTGACATTGATGAATAAAAGAACCCGCAGAGAAGACATACGCGTACATTAACTTTACGCATTTGTTTAACTTTAAGCATTTTGCCTTGATCCGACGTCGACGAGAGTACAGTGCTTATTTGACCAAATAGTTCGCCTTTGGTGGCATCTTGACTGTAGGCATTTATATCTAAATGTAAATAAGAATAAAATTTATTATGACTGAAACACAATTGACTTCTCCAGTGCATTTCACTTACCTGACATATCTCTCGGTTATATTTCACAAATTTAAAGACTTCGGTGATGTCAATTCGCTGCAAGAGAAAAACAGAAAGCTGGCAATAAAGCTTGAAAGATTTATAAATACCTAAAAGAATTTCACTATTGAATAATTTTTACTTCTATATAGTATATCTTGAGGACGGTATTCGAAGAGCAATGCGGGTATAAAATATATGACGCACCTATATTTTGTTACGCAGATCTGAAATCAGTCATAAATTAATCACGAAGCTTGTGAGGAATACACAAATTAATCAGTGAGATGGGTGGGACTCACTCTGCAGAGACCCTCAGCTATCAAAGAGTAAAAGTGCCCAGATGCAAAAACTCGGAAAAGGTTCAACATCAACTAACATATGAGAAATGCGACATTTTATTTATTTAATTAATTAAATCATTTGCATTATATATGAATATACATGAGATACTATAATTATTAACATTCACTTATGTATGTTATGTTGTGTGGAATAGACTTTCAAAATAAATCACATACGATATTCGTAATCCAACTATTAATGGTCTATACCCTATACCCTATGAGAAATTCTCTATGTGATGGTTCTGGAAGCGTTAACAACCAATGGATTTCTAAAAATCTGATGTTTGCTTTTTGATTTCAGAAAAACTTAATAACCTATTTGTTTTCACTAAGGGAGTATAAGTTCACATCTTGCTAAAGAATTTATTCACATGCGTTTTTGTCTTTAAGTTTGTAGTTTTCTTTATACTGAGTTTTGCCAGGCTTTCTAATCGATCTTAAGAATTCGTCATAGATTAAGGTGTGACTGATTCTGAATTTAAAGTGAACAAATATAACTCGATTCTTAACATTATATAAGGTCTATTTACTTACGTTCTTGCATTGGCATTTAAGTGAACTTACTTCAATTTTATTCGTTTCTGTTTATTCGGTGCACAAAGACTAGTAGGGGAAGAGAATTTGTGAGATGTGACTTTATAATATTTTACAATATTTATTTATTTGGGAGACCGATGAATAGATATAATCCTCTATGTAAGACGCAGAATATGTCACCCTACTATTGCGTAATAAACAGACTAATCAGTCTGACTAATAATTACGAAACACACTTTCCGGAATTCGAAATATTCAAACGACCATTTTATTAATAAACCCTTTTAGCCGGTTTTATAATTATTTTTTAAATTAATATTAATCTTAATATTGTTATTTAAATTTAAATAATTAAAGATACTACTTCATTTATACTATATGGTCAATAGAAGAAGAATATCTGACTTTCTAGATTTTCATTTGAAAGCGTTTGTGTATTTAGTGCCTTAATTCTTACTCTCAACTCGTTTGTCCTATTATTCGATATTCAAGAGTAAGGGTTCTAATATATCATTACTGTAATATCACTTAGAAGGCGAGGAAAAAACCTACTCATAATGACATTCTTCCTGTGGGCCATTATGCCTACTATATTGCATAGCATATATTGCATATCAGTTAAGGTGATTTTATACTAAAAGCGTGTAAGAACGTAATGAAATATATCCATATATACATATGTGTATGTATATATATATTGTATATGTAGATTTGCATTTGATTATTTATTCGTTAGTTGGCAAGTATGAAATATGCGTTTCCATAAGCAAAATGAATTGTAAACAATAAATTGCAAGTAAATCATACGTACGGAAGGTTTGCAGTCCGTGAGGAATACGTGGAGATAAATGTACGTGCGAATATCTGAACATTTTTATACAAATTGTAGGGCTTTAAGTATGTATAAAATATCACATTTGGACAAAAATAATTTCTCTGCCAATGAATCGCCATCCTAGCCTTTTCAATGCATTTGCTTTCATTTATTGCACATATCTTTTTTTACAAGTGGAAAATTTCGTAATAAATCAAAATAAATGCTCCTCTGTACAATTTAAAACATTGTTGGTGTATTTTCGATATATTTCCATTGAGCATATTTTATTTATGCATGAATGTATAATTTTTTATTTGTAGCTGCACCGTGTGAGCTTATGATGTTATTTATGTGCAAGTGTACATACCTCCAATACATATATCATATATTACAATATATACACTTATCATTGCATACATGCAAGTATACATTATATGTACAATATATATAGGGTGTTTCGTACCAATGTGCTTCAACTTCAGAAGATTATTTCTCGATCTAAGAAACGAAAAAAGTGGCATGAGTGGTGAGACGGTAGGTCCATTTTCAATACTAACCGAAATACAGAATGTCACAGAGTCTCATATTCGGGCTTGCTACGAAAAAGCACCCAAATAATAAAAAACACTATTACTTCTTAACCCATCAAAGTGGAATAATCAACTAGATATGTAATTAGAGAATATTTAATTCATATTGTTCCTTAAAAATATTATCTTCAATTTTGATTTTTTAATTTTCAAACTTAAAAAGAATCAAATTAAAGTATATTCAATGGACAAAAAATACTTTTCAAGTTATTCAAATGAACAGTTTTTGAGTGTTTAGTCTTCAACAGTTTTGAAGAGTGAATTTTTTGGCAACACCATTTCTTGAAATGCCCACATCTCGTTAAATATTGAAAATTGACCTCTTTCTTTTAAGCGAATTTTTTTCGTTTCGTGGGCCGAGGAATCATCAACAGCATCTACAGTACATTACTAGGAAACACCCTGCATGTATTATATATATATGTATGCACATAGTTTTTTATCCTTACCTAGATACGTGGTATGCTGTCATAATGTAATTCCACTAATTGCAAGGCGTATGTTTAAATATATATATATATATATATATATACTTACAATAAAACTTCAATTTCTTAATTGCAGTACTTGTTCTTTCGCTCTGATATCAATCAATTTAATATATTTTAAATAAAATATTTTTATCACAACTGCAGCAGTTGAGAAAACGAGTTTTTGGTTTTAATCATTGAATAAACGTTTCGAGAAATTAGTGGTTCTTTCAGTCCTATAAGTATCACCCACAGATTTGGCTTCATAGTAAACAGCAATTGGTAACAATTGGTAAAAATGAGAGCATATGCAAGACACTTCCAGTTGTTGATGAGGTTGACAGCAGACCAGACCATTAAATTAAGCATGACGTAAAAATTTCCATTACAGCAGACGCATTAGCGTAGAACCGAGAGGAAACGAAGAATGATTGGCAGACGCACCTCTCGCTATAACGGCAATAAAGAAGAGAAATGGAATCCATGTCGGACATGAATTTTGAATTTATTCTACCAAATACTTTTAGAATTGCGAATAATGAATTACTTGGTGTTGAAAAGGCATTAGCAATTGAAAATGTTCAAAAAACTATACATCTCAGGTTGTGAACATAACGAACGCAAATTGATATATATGACAATTTTGTACGTTGGTAAATTTACAGTTGGATTGAATAAGTTAAAGGTGACACTATTTTAAGTACCTGAACTGTGTGTGTGCATAGCGGATAATTGGTTGCAAACAACCTCTGACCTCATTGCTGCCACACCTGACGCTGAAGTGCGATTTGACAGATTCAGTGCAATACATTTTCTTGAGATACGTATGAATGCATGCGTGGTATTCTCCTGTGCATCTGTGGAGATTATATGGTATACTGAAACGTATATGTTTGCTTAGAATCCTTGCTTTTTCTTTTGCGAATTCGACAACACGCAAATGCAATTTAGTGCACTTAGTGCAGTGCCATGTAAACACCAGTAACAATGACGTTTCAAGTTGGCTTAGAGTTCGCTTATAAAATTTCAGCTCGATTCCAAAGAATGTTTGGAAGGACACAAAAATGTGATGAAAAAATGCTTGCGAGGTTTTTGACTCAATTATTTCTAGAAATCAACTTTTTCAGTAGAACAAATTACGTCACTTTTTAGAACTTTTACTATAAGTTGTATGTATTCAAAAATACTGTCTAGGTAAAAATTTTTTAGAGAACTTATAGTAAAGATGAGTTTTGTAAGTTTTATGTTTAAAAACCTTAAAATACTTAAGGCTATATTTGTGTGAATGAAGTAAAAATAATTACTAATTTAAAATGTACATAATTTTAAGGCGTCTTTTCGTTAAATTCGATCACGAATGCATTTTAAACGAAACTCGTAAACTTTTCTCAGAAATTGTCTACTGCGGCGCCTTTCATAGAAACATTAACTCTTCTAGGTGAATGTAATAATTATCGTACTTACCGTACTTAATGAAACTGAACAAAAAATTGAAAAAAAAAATGAAATTGAATGAAAATAAATGACTTTTTTACAAAAATTAACGAATCTACCAAAATTGAACAAAAGGTTTAATTTTACACACACAAAATGCTGCGTCTAAACGGCAATTACCGACTACCTTGAACCACAATAAGAAACAGACGCCACCAGATAAAGCAAGAATTAAAACAAGAGCCAGACCAAAGAATATCAATAGGAATTAAAAATATTTTGCTTCTATTGATTGCAAGTGTTTCCAAAAACTCCTTCTATGTGTTCCATTCACGGCTGATTGGCAGAATATCGAAAAATCTTAGTTCTTGTTAACTGGCTGGGAAAGCTTATTGCTGAAAACAGCTTGCTATTTGAAATGGTCAAGCAGATGTTCTGTAGACGATAATATGATAGTTGGTCACCAATTTATAATTGCTTTCTAATAGTATATTCAAACTGTGTCGTTTAGGCACTTGCTC